CAAGGTGGATCTGGAAAGAGAACCACAAGATGCAAAAGGTGCAAACAACTTGGACACATGGCAAAAACATGCAATGAATATGTCTATGACTCTGATGCACCACCACCTGCTGCTCCAAAGCCAAAGAGAAAGAGAGGCAAGAAAAGTGTCACAGTAGTGCCATCTAGTGCTGCTGAGCCACCACAGGAACTACCATCATGTGTTGACCCATTGTAAGCCTTTTAAACTTCTTTATGGATTTTCAATTTTCACCTAACTTACACATATCTTATATATTTAAACAACTTACAGTGCTACACCCACAAGACCCATCACTTGTTCTCATACACCAAGCCCTATTACAAGAAGGTATAATTGCAATTTGCACATTTGAGATATTTGTCCCCTTGTCAAATCTGTAATAGTGTAATATCATATGATTGTATTTGCATGTAGTATGACAAGGAGGCTGCTGGAACTAGAATCATCTACACCAACTAGACTCACCACCTCTGTTTCTACTCCAAGTCCTATGACAAGAGGGTATAACTCTTGCAGATTTTTATTATGTGTTCCTGTTGCTATTTCTATTTAGCTAACATGTTTCTATACTCATCTATAGTCGTAAGAGGTTGCTGGAACTTGAAGGCGCCATAGAGCCTCTTGGATGTCCAATCACATCTCCATTTAGTGTTGACAAGGTGAAAGGCAAAGAAGCTGCAGGTTGTTAGGTCTAAAAAAGCATAGGCTGTGCACTTTAGTTGGTTGAAACCTGTTACTCAGCCTATATTTTGTGGCTGTACTTGACTGAAAGTGTGGCTGAAATGTTGCTAGAATATGTTATTTTGTGGGCTTAGACCGCTACTTTCTTTTGAACCTGTCATGTTCATGGATCTGTTAAAATGTTGCTGTAATATGCATGTTATGGTGATGAAATATTACTTGTTATATTGTTTGGAACCTTGAATTGAAGGGCAGGGATATTTCTGTCCAGATATTATGTTTACTTACTTGTTTGAATGAGAAATCATATTATAAGAGCTATAGTGTCCAGCAGCAAATGACCATACTTTTGTAATGGTTTGTGGCAAAGCCATTCTTTTTTAGTGGTTAGTGGTAAAAGCCACGTTTTTTCAATGTCCCCTGGCAAATTTTGCCTTTCCTTTTCCCTCCCCTTCCCCTCTGGATCTAACCGTTTTTCTGTGTTCTTGACGTTTGGGTACCCTTGCTGGTTTGGCTTTCTGCAGCTTTTGCAATTTGCAAGTGGCATAAAGCAAATTTCTTCTGTCAAGACTATCTCCCAGATAGTATGATCGATGCAGTGATGCCGTGCTAATAGAGTCATAATCATAGGTCACCAAACCAAAGTATGCCAACATTCTCAGACCTCTCTGGATCCATGGATGAACACCAATCCAGCATTGATCAGATCAGTCCCCTGGCATCAAAGTAGGCGAATTCAGCACTGATCAATCTTGAAGCTACAGCTTCAGATGTTCACCATTAAATCACTGTAGCGGCAGCCTCAAATCACCATTAAATTTTCATTGCAAATCAATATCTTCATTAACAAAGATCTACCCCTGATTGTAACTTTGTAAGGTCAGAAGAATGCTGCAAAAGGTTTAGCTTGCAGGCAGGCATCAGCAGTTTCAGGATTTCAGCTTAAGCTCATGGCAGCTACCAATTCATCCTTGTAACGAAATCATCGCTTGCTTGAGAAGTACAGGCGGAACTGGGTAGCAACGACAAGATAACCTGCCTCTGCAGTCTGCGTAGTCTGATGCTTCCTTCAACAATGAGGACGTTCTTTTTGGATTCCTGCAGGGTAACAAATGTTACAGCACAAATAAAGCAGTAGGTATAGTTACAAATCTCTTCTACGTTTCGACGCACTGATGATGTGATCATAGTCATAGAGCACTCAGTGTCTGAGTATGCCCCAAGGATGAACACAAATTCAGCATTGAGCAATCTCCTTGCATCGAACTACACAAATTCATCACTGCTGACTGGGCAGTCTTGAAGCTACAGCTTCAGAAGCCAGTGCTTCCATCGATTAAGAGCTTAAAAGAGACTGTTCATCAGTTCATGGCATGGTCATGGTCAGAAGAAAGGATACAAAGGAACTTGCAAGCATGCATTAGCAGTTTCAGGATTTTGGCTTAAGCCCATTGCAGTCACCAATTCATCCTTGTCATGAAATCATCGATTTTGCTGGAAAGTACAAGGGCAACTGGGCAACAACCAAAAGAATAGTTCATAATCTTCTGTCAAGATTACTCTTTCTGTTACTCTACAACACATGCTACAGATAATTTGCCTCTACACAGTTTGGTGTTCCTGTCCTGATTCTACCCGTGTATAACACGTCAACAACACTCATTAGAGTCAACTAAGGATGTCTACCTCCGATTTCAGACAACCGTGAAAGCAGCCTCCTGTCCAGCTTCACGCCAGCCGACTTGGCATCTCTGATCAGCTGTTGGCACTTGGCCAGCCTCCCATCTGCCAAATAGCCCTCGATCAGACTGTCGTACATGTCGCCGGTTGGAATAAACCCAGCCTCCTTCATCCTTGACAAATAGCGGAGAGCCCTCTCTGGATCCTGCAATGCCACGCACAGCTTGACAATAACTCGGTAGGCCGGCAGATCAAGCAGGCGTCCTGCCTGCTCCATTTCCCACACCAGGGACAGCGCCTCGCGGTGCCTTCCGTCGCGGCAGCGGCTGTGGATCACCATCGTGTACATCACCACGGTGGGGCTCCCACTGGACTCCCTGAACCAGCTGAACAGGCTATCAACAGCTGCGTACCGTCGGAGCTTTATGCAGACCTTCATGACAGCCGTGCAGTCCTGTGGACGCAGCTCCAAGTCCGGCCTCTCACTGAGCTCATCGATCAATGCCGAGGCAAGCCCATAGCCTTCAGGTGTCCGGGTGGCTTCCAACATCAACTTCACATAAATGCTGGGGTGCAGCGTCCTGTTATTGATCCTTGCAAGTTCAAGGAGTTTGCGCACACGGTCCACTTTCCCTGCTCTGATAAACCAGCTCGCCATGGCCTCAAGAACGGCACGGCTGGCCGTGGGCACACATTGCTCCAGCGCAGACTCCACTTTGAGCTGGTCAAAGCGCGCCAAAACTTCGATGGCCGAAGCAAGAACCCGGTCGTCAGGGAACAACGGCACAGCTTTCTGCCTCTGAGCCCAGCACAATGTCTGCAGCGCGCGCTCGGGGAGCCCCATGTGCCCGAGCTCACGAACGGTAAGTGACAAGGAGCCTTTCCGGAGGAACCTCGCCCACCGGTCGAGCACCGTGGAGACGTCGTGCTCTGGAGGGAGCGCGGCGATCTCCCGGGCAATCCCGAGGAGGAACTCCGGGTTCTTGCGCACCTGGTCGCTGACGGAAGCGCGAGAAGAGAGCCCCGCTCTTGCAGCAAGGCGGACATGCTGCTTCGGCGCAGGAGCGACGGGCAGCCTCGTCTTGTGCGGCAGTGGCAATGGGAGCGCCCTCTGCCTCGTGGGGTTTGGCGGCTTCAGGGGTTTCTGGCGCATCGGCCGGTCGAAGAGCGCCGAAATAGCATCAATCTCTTCTGTGCTCCAAATTAAATCCTCTGCTTCATTGTCCTCTTCAGCACCATTCTCGGCATATATCTTGTCACTGAATTCCGACTCCTCCATCTCCTTGGCCGGACCTCTATCGGTATCAGACAACTCTGATGAGCAAGAAATCCGAGACGCCGAGGGGAAAGAGCCATGGCTGCAGAATCCCCGGGCTCTGAGCTTCACCGGTGCGGGGCAAATGGCAGGCGCTGCCGGGAGCAGCAAGCTCACCAGCGTAGGGGCGGTCTTCACTTGGGGCATCGGCAGTGGATAATCCAGAAGCCTGGGTAATTGAAACTTCAAATCTTACTGGATCCGCCCAGCCTCCGGCCACCGGCAGCCTTCGCCCAGCCGCGGAGCCGCAGCCGCCGGACGCTTGGGCCTGGCCGCCTGGGGGGTGGAGTCTCGATGGTTGGGGCCTGGGGCAGGATTGGGGAGGGATGGAGAGCGCCGCCGCCGCCGCCGAAACGCGAGATCCTCTGAAGTCGACCTCACGACTGCCGTTCCGGCAGTCGCTTCATTCCCTGCCGTTCCCTGGCATCCAACGGACCAGCCGAGCCTAGCCGCTGCACCTCCTCCACACTTCCTTCCGGCCCAGCAACACGGCCCGTTAGGCGTCGGTCGTTCTTGTTTTTGGCGCGGCATCTCGTAGTTTTAGTGCGACCGGGGCTTTTTTGGCGCGACGAGGGTTGGAGCCGTGATGATTGAGGCGGCGATCGTCTACTGCTCGACTGCCCGTGCTCGGTTGCCGTTCATAGGAGAAATTGGTAGAGTACTCTGCTCTCCTAGATCTTTCTCTCTACTCAGATTTTGCAGTGTTCTAATCTAGTTCTCTTTGCCATCCCTAGATGTGTTGAAATTGATTGAAGTTTTTTTTTGTCTATGGGAAAACAAAACCTGCATGTTTGAGATGGAAGAAAATAGGTGTGTAACACCATGATTGTTTATTTCCATCATGAGATTAGATCAATTGCTTCATACAAGTACATACAGAGGCTCCATTTTCGTGAAGAACAAATAGCAAACATTTTCTGGGTTGATGCTAAAATGCAAAATGTGCCCCCTACTACTTCTTGGCCCAATGAAGGGATGTCCGAACTATACCTTGCCCTCAATAGCTTTCTCAACTACTACTGGTAGTATTTCAATTTGATGACCTTTCTATTAATGTTATATACAAAGAGTTTATTTACATTCTATGTAGTCTCTGAAGTTTAGCAGTTCTGTGTAGCCTCTGAAGTTTAAAAAATTCAGCAATGCCTTCTCTTTATTCAGTCATAACATTCCACGAGACAATCTATACAATTTGCTCTGCTTCCTAGACAATCACAATTTGCTAGGACTTTTGCTGCCTACCTGCACTGCACAAATTGCTAAAACTTGTGCTTCCAATTCAGTTACTGCACAACTGTAAGCAATGGCACAATTCACAGAACACAGTACAAGCACAATTTGCAGAACACAGTGCTTTCAATTGCAGCAGCCTCCATGCTCCCAGTCCAAGCTTGATGGCCTCCATGCTCCCAGACAGCTGGAGCTCGATTTTGCGGACCGTGGCCGCGTACTGCAGGGCTCCAGCACCACACAGCTAGCGCATGGGAAACCGGCCTCTGCGACTGTGCGTTGCCAGCAGGCAAGGCGCAGAGCGCCCCCGAGGCGCCTAACTGGCAGGTGCGGCATCAGGAACGAGGACACCCGGGCTCCGCGGGAGGAAGAAGAGAAGGGAGGCCGACGCATGTGCTCGCGGGAGAGACGGCGGCGGAGGGGAAGGACCGAGTGTGGCGACGGCGGCGGATAAAAGACCGACGCTGCTGCTTTTTACCCTTAACGAGCCGTGTTGCTGGGCCGGAAGGACGTGCGAAGGAGGTGCAGCGGCCGGGCTCGCCTGGTCCGTTGGATGCTAGGGAACGGCAGGGATGAAGCGACTGCCGGCTGCAGTCGTGAGGGTCGCCTTCAGAGGATCTCGTTCCGCGCCGAAGACGAACGGGGTTACCTCGATGGCTCGATTCCTCGTGTAGCCGGAGGAGCGGATGTCGAATCTGCCGATTGCCGGATGCGTTGCTGGTGGCCGAGTGGGGCTGGGCCTTCTAGGCTTCTTACATGGGCTGTTAATTGCTTCCTATTGTGCATTGGGCTCGATGTTCTTTGGGCTGGACCGCATGGAAAATTTCTCCACGGGCTGTTGATGGACAAGCAAATTGGTTGGCCTTCCTGTTGGCCCATCTCTTGGCATAACAATTTGATCTCTTAAATGCATGCAATGTACCCAAAAATATAAGTTGTTATTACTTCTTTTGAATCTAATAATTTTATAGAAAAAACACCAGAATCTTCAACACCAAATTTTTTTGAACACTCTTCAACACCAAATTAGTTTTATTATGTTAATATATTTTCTAGATGCGGTAAAAGTTAGGAAGTTTAACATAGGACAAAACTTAAACAGCTTGGAGGTACATTTTAGAATGAAGCAAATACATAGTTGATTGCTTTCACTTGCTTCGATGCAGACAGATCAAATTTTCCCCTGTATTATTTTATGTTCTGTTGAAATTACTTGCTTCCTTCCTGTATCCACCCTTATCAGGTATCCAGTAAGCTTGATGCCGAACAGATACAAGTTACTTTGATCGTGATTTGTATAAGGCAATTTCCAAGAAAATTCTCTTTAATTTCTACTCCCCCTATTCCAAGCTTTTCTATATACATAGTCAATGCTATATCTAGACATAATATACATCTCAATGCAAAGCAAAATTTATGTACCTAAAAAAGTTAAAACAACTTATAATTTAGAATGGAGTGAGTACATGACAAAACCAAAGACGCATATGCACTTATTTGACAGATAAAGAGTCATCCGAAGAATTTGCCTGCTCGTGACCGTGAGGATCTCCAACCATAAGCATAGCCAGATTGAGACCTTCCGAAAGCAAAAGTAACGATGAACTATCCTCGACTAATAAACAACTCCTAAATTCTTCAAGTTGTGCTTGGGAAATGAAGTATATTTGCCGTGCCATTTCATATGGAAATCATGGATTGTCATATACAGTACATAGAACTATTGCACCATTGACTAAATCTCCTCAAACAGCGAATGAATCAAGGCAGAATCATATCCAGATAGATGATGCACACATCGTGAAAGGGAATCATTTTTTGGCATTCACAACTCAAATGGCATGCCTTATATCAAGGATTATCAGTTGACACAATTGAAACTCCAACAAGGGCCTGCCCTACCCCTGTGAAAATAGTTCTTGCAGCTTGTTCTGCCGGAGGTATTCTTGGATGGCAGAACGCAGTGCGTGATTGGGGATGGTATCACGATTTGAAAGAGTTTTGTTTGTTACTGGAGATGTATCATGCCCGCTATCCAGCCAGTATCTAAGAGCATCAGCTTCGTAGGTGAAGCCATCTGCTGCCACCTGAGGATCTCTCATGACAACCTGAAGACAACCAATAGCAGAAAGTTAACTATCTGATGGCAGCTCGCACCAAAAGAACAGAGACACCTTATATTTTCAGATCGTATCACCTGAGAGATTGGACAAAGGAAGTAGGATGGCGTGGCAACAGCTCTACTGCTTTCATTGAAGATGGACCGAAAAGATTGTGACAACGGCGAAGGAGCTTCCTTTCTCATAGGTTGAACCACCCTCCACACATTGAGTTCAAGATCAGGGCGTTTCTGCCTGCTGAGCTCCGAGCACTGCAGCCCAATCCGTGCAAGCTGCTCTGCCTGCACCAGTGGCCACTCACCTGCCGAGTGATCCAACACTGAGTGAAGGTCATTGTCATTCAATGCCTCTTGCACCACCCTTGTAAGGCGTAGAGGTGCCCTTCCGGTCAAGAGGCGCAGGATTGTAATGCCAAAGGAGTAAGTGTCAGACTGTGGTGTCAGCTCCCCTGTGCCAAAGAACTCTGGGTCCATGTATGCCGGTGTGCCCATAGGCTGAGTGGTGAAGTGTGCCTCGCTGCCAGTGACACTGGACTCCAGCAAGAGACGGGAGATTCCAAAGTCGCTGAGCTTGCTCACCAAGTTTGCATCAAGGAGGATGTTGCCTGGCTTGAGGTCTCCATGCACAACTGGGTGAGGCTTGTGCTTGTGAAGGAAAATCAGTGCTGAGCAAACCTCCATTATGATTTGGATGCGCACCTGCCAACTTAGTGGCAGGGTGTTGTTAACACAGTTCAGACGATCTTCCAGGCTTCCATTAGGTAAGAACTCGTAAACAAGGGCTGAAGCTTCAGGGCTGGCTCCGATAAGTGTGACTAGGTTTGGATGCCTCACTCTACTGAGTATTGCCACCTGAAAAAATAAATTAGAGCAACAAAACAAGTTGGCTTTATTCTTACTCCCTGTTGTTCCAATGCAATGTTGTATGGCTATACAAAGCAGCAAAAGAAGCATTTTACCTCTTGCTTGAACTGTGATTGGGCATGCAAGCTTTCAGTATTGAGTATCTTAATAGCTACTGTGGTGCTCCGGAGAAAACCTTTATAGACAGATCCAAATCCACCTTGACCAATGTTAAGTGAACTGCTGAATACCTGGGTAGCCTGCTCCAACTCCACCAAGGAGAATTCAGAGTTCATTGCTCCATAGGCACAAGGTTCTGTGAGTTCTTTCTCCATACGCATGTCCCTTGCCTCTTTAACCGCATCATCTCGTTCCCGCTTCACTTTACTGTACTCCAACTTTAGTGAGTTCACAAGAGAATCAGACGCTCTCATGCTCTCTCCTAAATAGCTGGCAACAGAGTCTAACTCTGATATGCGATGTTCCAGAAGGTGCTTCTGCTTGTTTGCCTCTTGCAATGCATTGGCATTCTTATTCCATTGGTATCTGTACCAATCGAGCTCATTTTGGAGCATCAAAGTTGCTTCCTTCAGAGTTTCTGTCTGTTCTTTCTGTTGTGAGATTTCTGCCTCTATTTCTTTCCTTATTTCCATATCCTTAATATACATATATTCCAATCTTTTAGCCTGTGAATGTAATTAGCAATTGTTGATAGAAAATTAGTGAAATCCCTGGACTAGTACAATGATCCTACTTTTTCTTTGACCTAAATAATGGTGTGAATAAAATACTAAAAATATATCAAGGCCTTTTTTATCAGCAGAAGTAGTTCTCATAACAAGACCACATTGCTGTAGTTCTTGAAATATTTGAAATAACAGGTGGATAGATGCCAAAATGCTATGAAATGAATAAGATCCTTCTGTTTCAAGCATATAGATGTTCAATATTGAGAAATAGTTAGTTAATTCAGGTTTGTAACCATGTTCTAAACTCCTTTAATATATACAAAACCAACTGTGGGGCCCCCCCCCCCACACACACACACACAGTATTTGCGTCAAAAAAAATATTGAGAAATAGTATATATGGATTATGCCAGAAAATTCTCACACCTCTAAATTAGGTTGAAGCAAACTCTGAAGATCCATTTTGGGATTGCCAACACCACAACTTGGCCGTGCTGATCTTGACTTGGTCAACAGGCAGTAATTTGCCTTCCTGGAAAATTCCCATCAACTTAAATGAGTGAAACAAAAGATTTACTTAAGCTTCAATGAATTAATAGTTTAATACTCATTCACATGAGGAAAAATAACAGAGATGCTACTGATAAATACAGATAATTTCAAGCAATGACTGTTAATCACCTATTAAATTAAATGCCAACTGTACTCAACCATAAATCCACATACTACAATATATACAGAAATAAAAAGCATATTTTAAACCAATAAATCACATGCTAGCTATAAACATGTTCATTTAGTCAGTTAAAATGACCTCTCATCAAGTAGTTCTATGTACATTGAGAAATGACCATTAATATATTTATATTACCTAGACTTTTATGAAGACTTTTTAAGTTACCTGGAATAGAAGCAAAATTCTATATAGCTTAAGATCAACACAAGAGAAACCGTAGCTAGAATTGCTGAAGGGCCCATCAGCGATTTGAATCCTACCTGAAAAATACTAGCTTTCCTTTGCAAATAAACCACATATTGCAGTGTGAGTCAGCTTTTTGCATCACACTCAGTGCTGTCTGAGACTGTGGTGCTTTCATTTTCCTGGACAACACAAAAAAACATTTCCTTGAAGATCAAATCTATTTCAGTTTGTAATACTTATAGACAGAGAGAGAGACCTCCTGTAATGTCTGTCTGCAGCTGCACCAATAACAAGTTCAGTGACGCCATATATATTTATCAGATGAATAAGGCCCTCATCGATTTCGGTGAATAGAAACACCCGTTTCTCAGCTCTAACCTGACGATGGCAGAATATAGAATTTACTTGATGTTAAACAGAAACTGTGGATATTTCTCTATGAACGTGCTTATCAAGAAGTTCTTGGCACAGATTGTACTTAGTTTGTACTCGCTTTTAGTAATCAAGATGCAAGTATGCATTCATTGAATGAGTTCAAATAAGACAACCAACATATTGAAATGTGGGATTTGATTATGCCCAAGTTCATACTGGATTTGAGCCTTTACTTCTAATTTGTAGGTTTAGTTATTTGGTCAATGAAAAACTGACATATTTAAACTTTCAATCAGTACATGACAAAAGCAAAGCAAAGCATAGCGTTACTAAGCACATAATTTTCATTTTCCTTTTCTCTGTTTTCTTCACACATATATAGGGGGTGTTTGGGACTGTTCCACTCCACGTTTTTCAGCTCCGCTCCACATTTTTTAGCCAAACGGTTTCAGCTCCACGCACTCTATTCAAGGAAAAAAGGTGGAGCTCCACGCACTCCAGTTTTTTTGTGGAGCTGCTCCACGGTGGAGTTCGTAGAGCAGAGTTTGTGGAGCTGTCCCAAACACGCCCATAGCACACCTATAGTCCCTGGGACTGTGTAATGCATGTTTCCACATAAGATTTTATAGAACAAATAGAATAGCAAAATTGATGTCATGCACCTTTTTCCTTGAGCATTGATCCAGGTAGCAGTCCAAAATTTGCTGCCGGCTTTCTTAAGAATAACAAAAAAAATCAGGTAAGATGATAATACTTTGCAACATACACTATGAACACTTAACGACAAAACAAGAAATAATAGTTAAGATAAAAAAAATATCACAGCAAGCAATCAACTGAAGATTTTGGCAAGAAACAAGTACATCTTTTCATTTATTCACAAGGGGCTATCAAATTCAGGACAAATGGACAATCACTGCACATAACTAACCAAAGTTTGGTGATGTTACTATGTGGACGATGATGATCTGTGCGCTGTCAGATACATGATCAATAACCCAAGACAGTATGGATTTTCCATCCCTTGGTTCCTCAGGAAGTGCAACAAATACTCTGTCTCTAAAAAGACTTTTCTGGCTCAGCATCATGTGTGCAGCTGCAAAGGTGCTAAGGCCTAGGAGGACCAGAGAGGTATTATTCTTTTATACGGTACCAACCAGGTCACCGTTCAGCCGGCTGATGTATACAGAATAAAATACTGACATGAATAGGAAACAATTGCTCGTTTGACAATGTAAAAGTGCTGACTGCTTGACCCGCATTAGCAAACGGTAATGCAAGAGAGAAAATTTGAATGGAGTGTCTAAAATGCTTTATTTGAAGCATCCTTTGACTCAATACCTCACCACAAATTCTCTGTTGACTGTCACTTCGTTTCAAGAAGAATCACTTGAAGTCTCTTTCCAAATTTACATGGAGGAGCTGTGTCCGATAGACTAGTAGACTGTAGTAGAGAAGGTTACTTACCCAAGTCTTTGTAAGTCACCTTCAGATCTCAGTCAAGTCCAACAAATGGACTGGTGTATTATTGTAGTTTCTTCCAATGAACATGACAGGCGAGGTGTAGTACATCGGTAGTATAGTGGAAGAAGTCCACTCGTTTTTCTGTATCCTAAAAGGCTTTTCACACTTGGCCAGTAATAAAGAACAAAAGTTCTTCAGATATCCCTACATAAATCATTGGTGATTCAGCATTATTGGAATGCAAAGGAGATGGATAAGATACCAGAAAATAAACCCGATAGCCAACACGCTGTAGTGCAAACGACACAGTGAAGCAGTAAATAGTTCGAGAAATTTCATCTTCCGATTAGTCTTCACGAACGTAAAATCATTACATATTCACCTCCAGCTATCTACAAGAGCCACAAGACGACTGACTACCTTAGCAAAGTAAGCATATGTAAAATCTCGTGCAATCTCAAGAAATACTCATCTTCGGTGGTTCAAAGAAACTAGTGGATACATGAAGGATGATTAACCGTGACTATCGATGAACTAGGTTCGAATCTAAGCATGATGAAACATGAAATGACTAGGGAGTCCTGCTAGTGAATCCACGATTGCAGAAGGCTAGGACTAGGAGAAATACCTCTCCGAGCTCTGTAGAAGCCCACTAGTAAGTAGTGATGACCCATGTCATGCGGATGTGGATTGCACAGCTTCAAAGCGAAGCAGGCTAGAGCCCGGAGCCGCCAGTGCCCTGGCGGCGCAGAGCCCACCGATGCGGGGCAACGGAATGCGTGCGCAAGCCGCAAGCGTAACAACGGGGCGCGGCGAGGCAGGACGCAGGAGGGAGGGACTACGAGATGACGGGCTCATCGTCCTCGGCACGGAAGGCTCCACCACAGTGGCCCGCGCGGGGAGCCATCGGCGATAGCCGTACGCCGTAGTGGCGCTACGGCGAGCGGCGGGTGCCGGGGGCTGCAGCGAGGCGAGTCAGAGTCACACGCTTCCATCTGGAATGCATCGCGGCCCAGTCCCAGAATATCGATACCTGCGTTGGGCTCATAGGCCGAACGGCAGAAAAATTACCTGCGTTGGGCTCATGGGCCGAACGCAGAAAAATGGAGCATGGGAAGGGCAGTGGCGGACTCGGGATTCATCCTGGGATGCAAGTCCCTATTTGGTCCATCTCGTGTGATCGATCGAAGACGACAATGATCAGGTGTACAATTTTATTGACTTTAGCGAGAGATTAGATTTGCATATATTCGAGTCCTCAAAAAAGTCATGGAGCTTGATATTTAACCATGATAGTATGGAACTTAAAGATATTTAACCTCTGCGCTTTGCAACGAGAGAAAAAAAATCTAATAAGGTTGTATTTTAACTCGATGTGGTCTTAATATTCATTCTCATATTATTGCTAACATTAACTTATATTATGGTCATAGATTCAAAATTTTATAGAAAGGATAAACATAAATAGATATATACCATTTACGTTGTTGTTTCATATGAACGAGTTTGATAGTTTTTCTCCCGTTGCAACGCAAGAGTAAGTTTGCTAGTTTAAATAAACTAGCAAATATACTAACGTGATGCTTGTGTTAAAAATAATAATCTAGTTATTTTTGTTGAATTAATTAGGTTTAGTCTAATTTTAAATTAAATGAATTCTAACGAAATGTTTGGTTGTTAGGTTTGCAATGCTAACGTAAACAAATTATACCTGCAGACATTATTGGAAAACGGATGATTTGAACTAATATCATTTACGTTTACATTACTGGTGAACGAACCAAACGGCTTCAAGATCAACAGATATTTTGTACATCCTCTCGCCCTTTCTCTTTACACTCGTGCTTTTTGCCAACATGCAAGAGATGTTTTTTAATGGTGGTTGTTGGGCAATGTTGAATTGGGAGGAGCATTTGTGGTTTTTTGGTCTAGTGGCGATCTGTTTGGTATTTGATCTTCTTTGAGGGCTAGGTGATTGATTTTTTTTTTTTTGGATAACTAGACTAGTTGAGTGCCCATGCGTTGCTACGGGTAAAACATCTCATGACATACAACCACACAAGTAAAATATATGTAGAATCCCATGTCATCACAAATAATTAACATTCAAACACATAATTCAAACTAATTTATTTGAAATAAAGAAACCAGTTCGATTCTATTAAGATGAGATAGCATTCCTAAATGGAGGGGGCAAACAAATATAGTTGGCTTTGTGAAGTGCAGATATTGGGTGTCATGCCAATTCAGGACCAACATATGTGTTCTATTCTACCTCTGCCACCAATCAAAAACTCTAGAGTGACCGATGCATTCAGTAGCTATTTTTATCAAGTTACTTATTCTCAATTCTCATACCCAAGCAATAATTTGGAGCAAGGGGAAAGCAAATACTTCACTGCAGTTTGAACATAAAGGACTCACTGTGTAATAAAATATTTGAGTTTACAACACAAAATTATGAAGTTATGCAAAATGCAGAAAAGGAAAAAAAAACTAATGCTCTAGACCATGCTAAAATGGCTGAGCACAGTTAAATCAATAAGGAGACACTGAGATCTCAGAATGATTTTGCTCGAACAAATGCTGCAACAGCTGGGGACAAATTAAGAAATTGGATCAAGCGCCAGGAGCTACCATCCTACCACTGCTGAAAAGAACAAGCATAACATGAGCAACTTGAAGGTAACAAGAGACAAGATGCATACTGTTATATTTTCTGATTTGACGGAGTATCACTCTGAATATCTCCAGGCCCCTGCAATAAGAAGTTTTTCAAAACCTGAGCTGAAAGACCTGAATCATGCCACGACCTGCAAGTAAATAAGGAGCCATAGGCCCTATTCGCTTCTCTTATAATCCATCTTTTTAGTTTTTTTTTCAACCAAAACAGTGTTTTTCTCTCACAACAAATCGACCGGAACAGTGCTTCGGTTTGTTTTTTCAACGAAGCGAACGGGGCCATACAATCACTCACCTAATTTTTTACAATTTGACCCCTTTTTTGAAGAAAATTTATGTTTGGTCCCTTGAAAAACTTAAACTCATCTTTGAACTCTGGGGTCGGCGCCAGGAATCATGGCGCCGAGGTAACACGTCTCGGCCGCCATAAATCTTTGCACCGAGGTGTTTGGCCAAGCACAGCAAGCCATCCTAGGTGACGTTCACGTGGCCGGCACCTCGGTGCCACAGATCTTGGCGCCAACCTCGCCACAGATCTTGGCGCCGAGCTCGGCGCCATGTATTCTGGCGCCGAGCATTGATTTAAAATCCGAAACCAAGTTTTCCTTATCGACGCTGCTCTCATTTCTTTATCCCCTCTCGGTTTCTTCCTCTCCCTACCCCCGCCCAATCTTTTGAATCGACGGATTTGACCTTGGATATTTGGATTTGATCCATACATCTTTGCGAGTAAGGTATCCTCTCCTCCCTTATCAAATTTTACGCATTGATTTGGTATATATCACGTTTATTTTGTAACCCTAGATACATTAATACCTAATGTTTAAAGTGATTTTTTTATTTTTTGTATATTATGTGACGGTAGGATGCCAAGGCGTGGTAAAGCTAGTAAGCAAAGGCAATCTCTTATCATCGTGTTATATTATGTTTTTATTTTTTGTATTATGTCTTATTTTTTATATTTATGTTCAATTGTAGTTATGGCCGGATGACCAGAAATGCCTTCGACCCGTTGCCTCTGTCTAGTGGTGTTTCCAGTGCCCATGTGCTTTTGCGGCGATCCTTGCAAGGTATCCAAGTCTGATGAAGAGGATACGTATAGACAGAGATATTGGATGTATGCCAATTTTGCATTTGAGCCTAAACTTCGTCAGCGCCGCATTAACAAGATTGTGAGAAATTAATGTTGTTTAATATTTATTGTGTCAAATAAAGTCTTGCATGATTTATTTGTTTTGTAACAATTGCATTTGTTGCAGACCCCTCCACCGCTATGTGATTTTGAGCAGTGGATCGACACTGAGATCAAGCCGGAAGACAAGGAGTGGATGCAGAACTGTTACGGTGGGAGGCAGAGGACAAGAAGATGATGGATAAGAGACATAGAGAGGAGGCTCTAGAAAAGGAGCACAAGGAAGAGGAGAAAATGAGACGTTTTGCTTCGCACAGGGAGGAGAGGGAGAGGAAGCTTGAGCGTGCGCAGCGAGCGAAGGCAGCGATGGAGGAGAATCCCGATGCCCAGAGGAAGGAAAAGTGGCCTCGTTGCACTCAGTAGTCTTCATGAGTTACTATTTCTATGGTATATTCACGAACAATGTTGTCTAATCTTAGACTTTGTATTGTGTTGTCATGTAATGCACTTTTAGTTTGTCGTCATGTATTTCAAATGTTGTTATGTTGATTAATGTGCTCTATTATTGGACCTTTCATAGTGTTGTTGGTTTCATTATTTGTTGTCATAATATTCAGTTTAATATTGCATAGGTAGTGAAACGAGGTCACGTAGTGCAAATAAAACGTAACGAAGTAGTTGATTACCTAATTCAACACACACAACACATGAAATGGCATGTGATAACATATACCAAACTAGGGTACAGAAGTCCTAGACTAAACCTAACATGCCTTAGGTAATTGAAACAAACAACAAGCACATGAAAAT